ACAACAACAACATCTGGCCATGAAAAGTAAACTCTTATCCAATCAATCTAGGGTCACCACGTAATGGATAACACTCCATAATACGCACCAGGTGTCAGTACTGTAGGTTCTTTAATCTAAATTGTCTCTTTACCCTTGTTGTGTATCTTTCCTGAGCGTGTTTTTCAAACATTACACTAAGTTAACTCGGTGAATTCAATTGCCTGAAATATACAAATGGCCTAAACTTATAAAAGTTTCATATTTTAATGTCGCTGTTCCTCTATTTTTTTTTTTTTATGAGACGGGGACAATTTTGTTCACACTTTGTTTATATCGTGTGTCTTCAATATCAGTGTCACTGTGTATCAAATATATTTTTCAGAGTTATTGTCTAAATCAAGATATACATGTTAAAAAATATAACTTCCGTAAGTTTTGTCCATGAGACTGTCCGAATTTATGTTTCCTCAGATATATTGAGGCTTTGTCTTCCTCTCCCCTGACTCTTTGAGACAGAGTCCATAGCATCGACAAACCAGTTCCTGGCAGGGGTTGGATCATTAGCTCGGCCGAATCATCTCGAGCGAGTTGGATGCTCTGGTTGTGCCAGAAGAGTGGAATAGGGCTTCTACGAGAGGCGAAGCGCCACTATAAACAAAGGCTAACGAGTCGAACCAGTCGAGTTGAGTTTATCCATGAGTGTAAATTAAGGCAATAATCTATATATAAGTAATAAAACTACCAAGCCCGAATATTTCTTGTCCAAATATAACAAATAACGTATAGAGAAGTGGATAATATCTCCGTCGTTCTTAAACCTTCCCGTTATAAATATCTAAGTCGATTATTAATTAGGAAATACTATTTGATTTTTAATTATTCCACAATGTTGACCTTTCTTAATTAATCAAGAAAAGTTAACTACGTTTCAGAATGTTGGCCTTCGTTACCCTGGTACAAGCTGAACCTCAACGACCAAAAAAGCTGGTTCTAAAGTCTTCCTGAAAAACCTACGAATGGGTATTTAAGTTCATAAATGCATTGGAAAATTATTTAAAAATCAAGGATTAGTTCAAGATAATAAGACCAAATCCAAATAAATAAATAGTGTGTGACGTTTCTGTAACAGCGCTGTTACCATCTTCAGACAAAAGTACTGAATGAGATATTTTATCACAGCATGTTTTAAATAGTTACTGTTAATATCTTATTCAGAACTTTTGTCTGAAGATGGTAACAACGCTGTTACAGAAACGACACACACTATTTATTTATTTGTATTTGGTCTTATTACCTTGTGTTTATAATATATAATCCAAATTGTGCCTTATCAAGGATTAGTTGTTTTTTTTTTTTCGCAAGATGGAGCAATTCATCAGCAATTTTTAGTTGCACGATCAGGAGAAATTATTTTCACAGCTTATCAACCTGATCCTGGTACACTTTGCTTGGACATACAAATCTTTTATATTTTCTCAGACACACTTTAGTAAAAAATAATTTTTATAATAAATATTGCCACGTATAGAGAGAGAGAGAAAAAATTAAGAAAGACATCCCCAGGATGATACAGCAATTTATTTTTTGAAAAGGCACAATAAAAAATTAAAATTAATAAAATACCAGAGAGGCATTGAGGGAAGTTTACCTAATAACAAAATATAAATATCAGAATTATTAATTTGTTAATAAAATGATAAATATTTTGCTACATAGCTTCTTTTCAATGGGAGCTGTGACTCAAACCTTGAAATCCTGTTGCTACTGGCATAGATCTGACGTATTTCTGTCAAGTATTCCCTCGGTGTCTTGGAAGTTTGTCCCTAGTACTTTTTCGTTCTTTTTCATGCGACGTGAAGAGCGGTCGTATCGTCTATATGGACATCGTCATCTTTGAGGGAAATCTTTGCTTTAACATGGCGGTGGAATTTTGGAATCAGTCGCAGAAAAATGTAGATCACAGCACTAATAGCTTCAAGGTTTGCTCGGCAAGCTTCAGTTTCTCTAATCTATTAATTCTTGCCCGAAAGTTTCTTTAACCAAGCAAATAGTAATAGTTACAACGTCTTAATTCCTTTTTTGTAATTTGTCGAAATCCGGAATCCTGTGATTATAAATACACCCATACCTCGCTTTGCGTCGGGGTTACGTTCCAAAAAAATACGACGCAAAGTGAAAATAAAATTTTGATGGCATAGCGCAATCAAAAACAAAGGTGTTACCATATTTTAGGGAAAAAAAATATAAAAAAAAAGATTAAAGACTCGAATCCAAAACAACGCAACTTCGAAAATCTAACGACGCACAGTGAAAATCAGTAAAAATTAAGCAGCGCCGCAACTTTAAAAAAAAAACGCAAAACGAAACGACGCAAAGCGAGGTATTGGTGTATAACTTTATATAAACTTTGAATTGGCCTTCATTCTAAATATCTTCATAGAACAGACGTTGATGTATAGCATACTAAATACCACCCACACATTCTTGTATTAATATTTACCATCTTAAAATTGCATTTCTTAAACCATGAAATATCGATGAGTTCCCAATGCAATTAGATGTCAATGGTATTAAATATATTTTTATATATTTTCAGATTTTTGTAGAATTTAATGGAATAAATAATCTTCTTGTTAGTTATTAAAGGGTTTATTGCTTCGTTTTTTGATAGGTAAGACAATTATTTTTATAATTGCTTCTGAATATATTATATGTGTGTATTACTTATTCCATTAAAATTTAGGAAAATCTAAAAAGGCGAAGAAATCAATTTAACAAAATTGGCTTTTCTGAACTTCTATATGCAAATACACCTCCAATCCCATATACCAATCTATATGCTCACTTATGCCATCACACAGATGTATGAAAAACACCTATAATAGCAACTTTTTACTATTTCTCTTTGTCCTATCTAAGTATACCGTTTTATATAGATTAATTCGAAGCTCATTTAGTTCAAATTAATAGTTTATATGAATCATATTAATATATATACGTTTATATTAATATTTTCTTATATGCATTTAGTTAAATCATGAAATGGGGGGTCGGTGGAAGGCTGGTTAAACCGTTGGTTTTTGACCGCTATGACCCGGGTTCGATTCCCGCATTGGGCACTTTTTTTCTGATTTAAAAAAAATGCTCCAATGGCCCCCGATTCTTGCAAAAGTCCAACCCCACCAGCGCGTGCAAGTAACCAAACGGGGCTTTGGCACATTTGTAAGTGCAAAGTCGAACTGTTCTACCCACCATGATTATCATGGCTTGTACCACGTGTGCTAGGGATAAGCAAAAAAATATATATATAAATATATATCCGTTTATATTAATATTTTCTTAAATGCATTTACACCAATACCTCGCTTTGCGTCGTTTCGTTTTGCGTTTTTTTCGAAGTTGCGTCGCTGCTTAATTTTTACTGATTTTCACTGTGCGTCGTTAGATTTTCGAAGTTGCGTTGTTTTGGATTCGAGTCTTTAATTTTTTTTTTTTTTTTTCCTAAAATATGGCAACACCTTTGTTTTTGATTGTTCCTTCACATATTTTCACTTTGCGTCGTTTCAATTTGCGTCGTGTTTTTTTGGAACATAACCCCGACGCAAAGCGAGGTATGGGTGTAGTAAATTGATGAAAACAGATTTAATGAAATTTTATAAGTTCGCGAATTCTTCATAACGTCGTCTAAACAAGTTTGGTAAGTATTTACATAATCTGAAAAAGATATTATTTTTTCTTTTTTAAGAACTGAGCAATAAACGTCTATTTAAAATGTTCACTGCAAAAAGAGGCGCAATAGTCATGGATCGATTCAATATACAGTTAAATCTGTCTATAGCGCCTCCTCTAAATAGCGCCTCCCTCTCTATAGCGCTCGATTTTAAATACGTAGTATAATGCGATTTACATTAAAAGTGACCTGTCTATAGCACCCTATTTTGGTGAGTCCCAAGAGGGGGCGCTATAGGCAGGTTTAACTGTATTTGGAAACGAAAAATGTAGGTCATAAATTCAGTTTGAGCATCATAAATCTGGCATTTTCGACTGTGAATTTCTTTTAAATGATACTTAATAGTGGAGTAGGATAAGTCATAACAGAAAACTTTCAATTCCGTAAAATTGAGAAAAGAAATTTCACCATTTTCCGTGACATCAAAGACTTTCCACTTCCTTAAGTGTTGTCCATGAGTGTAGTAGAGTATGGATTTGAATTTTGTTACGTATTTATATTGACTAAAAAGAGATTTTAAAAAATATCATTTAAAAATCAAGCTAATAACGTTTTTACAAAAATGTTTACTGCAAAAAAGACGCAATAACCATGGATCAATCCAATGTATTTGAAATTGGAAAATATAGGTTTTAAATTCAGTTTTTGATCATCAAAAATCTGGCATGTTGGATTGTGAATTTTCCTTTAAATGATACGTAACACAGTGCAGAAGGATAACTCACAACAGAAAACTATTATTTCTGTAAAAAATATACGCTTCGGCCAGTTAAAGTTTTATTTTATCAATGACAAAAATCTTTTGTCTTCGTCAGGAGAAATAATATTAACAATAATAAATTTATTTTTCAAAAAGGTTACAAGTTTTTCTCTAAAAAGTGTAGCGAATGGTCAGTCTATTTACATATTTTTATTAAAACTTCAATAAATAACAACAGTAAAAGTAAACAAAGATATTTACATTTGCTATCTTGACTCCTGGTGAGTGCTGTGACCCTCACAAATATGGTCCCCTGATGTCCTGCAGCTCTCCAGCAGTCTTTCTATGACCTCTCCTGGTGGTTCCTCGAATATAATAATAAATAAAACAACACTTGAAGTTTCACCGCATAAGTTTCTTTTCTGTGAAAAATCAATATTTATTTCAAAGGGAAATATTTACTATTTCTAACTTTTTTGGATGAAGTATGAAAGGGTGAAAATATGAAGAGTAATGGCGAACGGAAAAATAAAAGTGTCCAGGGATGGGAATCGAACCCACAACGTTCCGCTTACCGGGCAGATGCCATGTCTAGTGGACATAATCACTAGTGGACATGGCATCTGCCCGGTAAGCGGAACGTTGTGGGTTCGATTCCCATCCCTGGACACTTTTATTTTTCCGTTCGCCATTACTCTTCATATTTTCACCCTTTCATACTTCATCCAAAAAAGTTAGAAATAGTAAATATTTCTCTTTGAAATAAATATTGATTTTTCACAGAAAAGAAACTTATGCGGTGCAACTTCAAGTGTTGTTTTATAATCATACGCCGCAGTCCTTTATAATATAATAATAAATATTTATTTTTCCTGACGAAGACAAAAGATTTTTGTTAAAACGTTAGGAAAATAAAACTTTAACTCTGGCTGAAGTGTCTATTTTTTATAGAAAGATTGTCACGGTAGATTTAACAACATCGAAATTACTTGTCACGGTGGAGAAGACGAGTATTCCAAAAGCTAAATTAAAAAATAATTTATTAATTAAACTTATATATTACAAAATGTGTGAATTGATTTTTACCAGTGGTAATTTACAAGCATGGGGTGATGACTATGCAAATATTTATGATGATAAACAACAGTAAATAATAATTATTGAAATGTATATATATTTAATCCCAGTATAATTATTATTATTTATTTAAGTAACCCAGGTTCCTGGAGCGTACAGAAGTCGCCAATTACCCGGGATGTCCTTCTGACCTAAGTCTTCTTGGATTTATATACAATGCCAGTGGAAGTCCCCCAGTATAATATATTTTACTTTAGCTGGAAACAGTCTGATGCACGCCCGCGAGAGCACATGCTAATAACAAAAGTTTTCAATTATTCTGTATAAATATTATTTAGAGATTGTACAAAGAACATCAGCCCGTTGAAGAGCAGTATATTTGCTCGAAAGCTTTCAAATTTAAATTAAAAGAAACTTTTTACCTGATATTGAGTTTTACTTTTTCAAATAATTTCTGGGTAACAATTGCTCACATAAACAACAGAGTATTCAAAAATATATATTCAGTGACAATATGAATGCTGGCCAGGCAACCTCCTTCTATCTTCAAGAAAAACTTTTTAATTCCGTAAATTGAGAAAAAGGATTTCTCTGCGACCCCCAAAGAAGATTTACCAAGAAGTCCTGGGGCAGATTAAACGTCATGTTTTTATGACAGCTTTCTAATCACACATTTATCCACAAGTTAAACTATTTAAAACGTGGTAAAAAATCCCGTTTTACTTTGTGTTGAATTTAATTGGAGATTTTTTTTTTGGTTTAACATTCTCTATGTCTCTAATTAATATTTCTTAAAATAAAATTTGATAATAGGCATTTTTGTTGGTGTTATTCTTACTTTGAGAATTTTATAAAGAATTGAAGGCCCTTTAATTGGGAACTTGTTATCATACTGGAACATTTTTGCCCATAGTCTTAACACTTGAGACGGACTCTTTCAAGACTAAATTTAAACATAAAATACACTTGAGACGGACTCTTTCAAGACTAAATTTAAACATAAAATACACTTATAGACAAGATTTAAGTATTCAATCCCCTGAAAAGAGTGACAGGAAGTCACTTGAAACGTCGGGAGTTGAAGTATACTATTGGTTGAAGTGGCTATGTTTCTCTCTGAAAACTTAAGGTGGAAAGTCTTTGATGTCGCTGGTATTTTTTTTTTTTTTTTAGGAGACAGAGGCAATTTTGTTCACACTTGGTTATCTCGTGCATCTGCAACAAAGGTCACTGTGTGTCAAATAACTTCCAGAGTTATTGTCTCAATCCCAATATACATGCTAAAAGGCACAACTTCCTTAAGTTTTGTCTATGAGTATATCTTTCAGAGTTATTGTCTGAATCCCGATATAGATGCTAAAAGGTACAACTTCCTTAAGTTTTGTCTATGAGTGTATCTTTCAGAGTTATTGTCTGAATCCCGATATACATGCTAAAAGGTACAACTTCCTTAAGTTTTGTCTATGAGTGTATCTTTCAGAGTTATTGTCTGAATCCCGATATACATGCTAAAAGGTACAACTTCCTTAAGTTTTGTCTATGAGTGTATCTTTCAGAGTTATTGTCTGAATCCCGATATATATGCTAAAAGGCACAACTAACTTAAGTTTTGTCTATGAGTGTATCTTTCAGAGTTATTGTCTGAATCCCGATATACATGCTAAAAGGTACAACTTCCTAAGTTTTGTCTATGAGTGTATGTTAACATAATAAAATCTATTTTTACGCATATGAAACTGATCATTACAAAATAGAATTGCCAAGTGTCAGATCTCTCTAATACAAAGAATATGGTCTTGATACTTATCCCAATATGCCATAATAATCATGGTGAGTAGTAAGTAGCTGTTTTTACTGTAAGTGCATCACATGTCTAAACAGGTAGAGAGTAGTTCGACTTTTGTACTTACAATTCGCTACAGCTATCAACTCCCAACAGACTCTGAGTTGAAACTACAGACAGACATGGTATTTATAACTTTTTTATCCCTAGTACACGTGGTACAGGCCATGGTAATCATGGTGGGTAGAAGTAGGCGACTGCTTTTACTGTAAGTGCACCACATATCTACACATGGGAAATAAGTTCGACTTTTGCACTTACAAATGTGCCAGAGCACTGTATGGGTACTTGCACTCGCTGATGGGATTGGACTTTTACAAGAATCGGGGACCATTGGCCCTAGTACACGTGGTACATGCCATGGTAATCGGTAATCATGGTGGGTAGAAGTAGGCGACTGATTTTACTGTAAGTAGTATGTAGATATGTGAAAAGTGTTCGTCTTTTGCACTTTAAAATCCTCCAGAGCCCTGTATGATTATTTGCACTCGCTGGTGGGATTGGACTTTTGCAAGAATCGGGGGCCATTGGAGCATTTTTTTAAATCAGAAAAGTGACCAATACGGGAATCGAACCCGGGTCGTAGCGGTCGAAAACCAACGGTATAGACCATAATTCCATCTACCCCCATTTACAAAGTAAGATAAATAAATAGATAAAGAGAGGGGAGAGTTATAAATAAACTCCACCAATCTGCGCTCCATTGTTTATCGCCGCCATTTGTAATTAGGCCTCCCACAGTAATTATCAATACAAATTGACCATTTGTTATCAACTGCCTCTGATTGCCTATTAGACCTGCGGCACGGTAGATGTGGCCTCGGGAACTTCCCTTATATATGTTGATGATATTCAACTTTTATTTCTTTATATATATATTCGTGGATGGCTTTTCTTGATTTATCAAGAAATTGGGTTGGCCAAATATTAGGGAACAAGTTAAATCAATGTTTAGTTGATTTCTGTTCCACTAGATGGCGCTCTGCCATCTAAAAAGCACATGTGTTCCTGGTCAGGATATGCTTTCATTATTTTTAATATATATATTTATATATATTAAAGCCCTGTGTTGTTATATAAAATGCAAATATCATAAACTAGGTTGCTCTTGTTAAGCGGTACCTAATAAAGTGATTTTGGAATCGAGTTTGGAACCGTTACATAAAATACAAAACCTTTTTGATATCTTAAATAATATTTATCTAATTTTTTAAACTTTCAATACTCTTTTTCTTATACCAATTATCTTTCATATATATTAGATATAGCTCTACATATATATATAGAACGAATTCCTACAATTAGTGAACTGGAAATGACAAGGAATTCGCTTGGATCATCTGTCTTGAAACCTTCACAGTGATTTCGCCCATTTAATCTACCAGATCGCTACAACTATTCTATTGACACGATATATACTCTATAACAAAAAAATCGACGCACCAAGAAGCAGTTGTCCGATTTATATGAAAATACGTATACAAAGAGGTTTCGACCAAACATGCAAATGATTGAAATTTGGTGGCCGAATTATGCAAAGCAAGAGCTCCAGCGCATCTGAACTGCGCATCCAGCACGAGCATTCTAGACTCAATATTCGGCGCGGCACGAGCTGATTTTCATAATTTCCGTTTAATATTTTAGCAGTACGCCTATTTCTACTGTATGCCTCGCCGAAAGATTCGTGCTCATTACGAACATATGTCAGAGTTTGAAACTGGTCGTGCCATTGGATTGAAAGAAGCTGGTTGATCTAATCGACTAATCGCGCGACGTCTGTGTCGAAGTGATGCGGCTATTAGGCGATGTTCGCAAAAGTGGGTCAACAACGGAAGTATGCAACGTCAGGACGGCAGCGGTCGACCAAGGGCAACAACAGAACAGGACAGAGCAATTGTCAGAATGGCTGTCGCAGCACCGGAAACCACGTTACCTACCATCCAACGTGTGACCGGCACACAAGTGTCCAAAATGACCATCAACAGGCGACTGAGAGAGCGGAATCTAAGAGCTCGCCGACCGTTACGATGCTTACCCCTCACACCCGTGCACCGACAAGTCCGACTACAGTGGTGTCGGGAGCTATAAACTTGGAACTGCGCTGACTGGGGACGTATAGTCTTTAGTGACGAGTCCCGTTTCTTACTGTGTCCTGACGACCGTCGCAAACGTGTCTGGAGACGTCCTGGGCAGCGTGTGGATCCTGGCCTTACTGTCGAACACCACACAGGTCCACAACAGGGCGTTATGGTCTGGGGTGCCATTTCATTTGATAGCAGGACCCCATTGGTAGTCATTCCTGGCACCCTGACAGCACAACGGTACGTAGATGACATTCTACGGCCTGTTTTGTTGCCGTTCTTCTCACATCATCCCGGGCTTACTTTTCAACAAGATAATGCCCGGCCACACACGGCACGTGTTAATATGGTAGCTTCAGGTCGCCTGAACTCTCGCCCATAGAGCACATCTGGGACGTGATGGGAAGGCGATTGCAACCATCCCGGAATGTTGACTATTTAGCCCGACAGTTGGAGACAATTTGGCAAGAAATCCCGCAGCACACCATCCGGAATCTTTATCAGTCCATGACACGCCGGGTGGTAGCCTGCATCCAGGCCAGTGGGGGTCCAACGACATATTGACATTCTCAATTTGTGATGATCAAACTCTGAAATAAAATAATTAATTGTCCTGAAATTTCAATCGTTTTTTTCCCCTATACATGCTCTTTACATACACCAATTTTTG